GATAGTCATTGGGGTCATATTAGGCTCACCAAGTAACAGTCTGGTAGATTTATTTATATTTTTTGAGGCTGTCTCTTTTGTCTGGTTTTAGGGAAAAAGGGAAGATGTACCATTTCAGATGGCTCCAATATGAGAGGGTGTCTCCACCTGCTCCTTATTTAATTCTGCAAGAAAATGTTTTATCTTACGCAAAACAAAATGAACAGGTGCTAGATGCCAGGCTCAGAGGCTTCTCCAGGCTCTTCTCTTATCAACACACCAGAGAAGCCGCCCATTCATTACATGCAGATGAATGCAAACTGAATGACTCAAACCAAGGGTGTAAATACCCACAGCTTTGCTCCACAGTACCATGATAGTCCACAGGCAGAGGCAGAAGGCTCCAGGAGCCTCCTCAGGGCTGAAGAACACATGCCAAAGACCACAGAAACATCACTGCCCCAGCCTAAGTGTTATTTGGCTATGTCTGTAATGGTCACCCGGAAGAAGAACTGTGTATGTCCAAAAAGGACCTACTGTTGTGGATGCCCCTTCCAACTGGTCAGCTGGTCCCACGCTCTGCCTCCTGCCCATCTACAATCCTAGTTCGTTGAGGGTCTATTACCCATGAAGACCAGGGCTCAACCTTATGGAATAATCACAAAGGATTCCCATGGTGCAGGACATGGGTTGAGAAACCCCTGCAGCTGCAACACTGTGCAGACACCTAAGCCAACTCTGCAAAAAACAGGAGCATTTGGATGCTCTTTTCCAATATAACCTGATACAAATTTAACTCAGTGGTTTGGTTTTGGTGTTGTTTTTTTTTTTTCTTTTTAGCCATCATGTTCTCACCCTTCCTGGGAAAATCTGTAGGCTAATTCCAGGCAGAACACAACAGTTAGGGATCATTTACTGAGTGGATGAGCAGCACCAGGCAGCTTTCAAAACAGCCCTTCAAGTACCACAAAAAGACCTAAGTTGCCACATCACTTCACTCAATACGGAAAGCACGAATTTCAGACAGCATTTCCAGGCTTTCCCCATCAATTCTGCAAGAACAGTATTTACACACTAATTCTAGCCCAGTCAGGCAAAAAAACAAAACAAAACAAAACAAAAAAAAAACAACTAAATAATTGGAGTTCATCACCTACAAAACAAAACCAACGCTGGTTCAGCCACAGAGGGCAAAGGAAACAATTGAGAATGTCCAAGGGCATGTGGAGGTCATGCTGTACTTTCACATGTGTGAAAAACTGAATGCAAACTGCAGTGCTGCTGGGTGATGGGAACCCTGAGCAGCAGCCTGGGGCTGTCATGTGCTGGTTCCCTCAGCTTGGACACAGCTTTCATGTGACTTGGGGGTTTTGCAATTCTGTGTTTGCTTAATGCAGGGCAAGGCAAGCTTGAGCAGAGCCACTCTGAAGCCTCTTCATAAGGTTTTATTCTGCTCTTCATGCATGGCTCTGTTGCTAGAGAGTCAAGACCTTTGAGGATGGTGCACACATGATGGTCAGAACTGAAGGAGGTGCACCTCCAATGAAGGGTCTGCTAGCTGCACATTGCATGACAGCAACTGGCTTATGTGCAAAATCAGAAAGTCTACAGCCTTTGAAGGTGGAGGCTCTCACTGGCAAAACAAAACAGCCACCACCAGCCTGCTTCAGGCTCTCATGAGAAATGGGGTCTCCCTATCAGAACACTTTCCAAAGTATCAGACACATCTCCTTAAATGAAGGTACAAGAAAGCTGTACAGCACAGGTCTGTAATTACAGAAGGGACCTCTAACATAAATAATGGTATTTATGTAGGAACAGGAAAAAGACCTTGAGAAACAACTTCTGTAGGAGCCAGCAGATCCCTGAGGCTTATCACGTTCTTGGCCTGCCTGCAAACATGGCAGTGAGGGAAGAAAAAATGGCAAAATGGTGATGCAGCAGCTAACACCAGCCTAAGTGGTTGCCGAGCATGCAATAGATGTGAGGAGCCTGTGTCATCCGGAGGAACATTCACCCTCAATAGGGTCTAAGCTGCTAAATAAACATTTCAGATCTTAAGGAACCATTACAGGTTGTTATACCCAGTTCCAGAAGGGTATGTGGAACAGATAGGAAACCAAGCAAAGAGACGTTTTGGTGGAATGCTGAGGTTCAATGTCACCTTGTATAGAACCCCTTTCTGCTTTGGAGTCTGTAGCTCTGAGGCAGCTGTTCCACCAGGAAAATATCTGGAAAGCCCCATATATTTTAGATGTGACATAAGGTTTCTCATGGAAACACATCTAGTCAAACAATCTTATCAGCTCCTGTACATTAAGGAACAAACTGGACATCCACAGAATGACTATTCCATCTTCCTCTTGTGAATCCCCCTCTGTGCTAAAGTTAAGATTACCAGTCAACAAAAACACTTATCAGAGGGAAGAAAACTGTCATGAACTATTCCTGATCTAGGGAGTGCTTAGGGCATTTTAACTCAATCAGGTGGGATGTAAGTGCTGCAACCACATTTGCTGTAGCCCCTCCCCTCCTTAAACTCTTCCCTTTCCCTGCATCATTCATCCTAAAAGGCATTATGCCTTTGCAGCCCTTCCAATCTCATCCATATTTGCAGCTAATAGTCCTTATACTACTAACTGCCTCAGAAACAGGGCCAGTCCATCGCTTTGTTACATACAGTCTTCAAATAGGCCAAGTTTTCCCTTCGCCACCTATTGAAAGACTGTCAATTTATTGCTGCCTTGCAGCTGAGGAGGTACCTTTCCACTACAGCCCATGTCAAGTGAGT